GCAAAGTCTAATATTGTAAGCTCTTTTATCCAACTCATTCAACAACTATATGAAGACATCACATACCAAGTAATTCACAATGGACAGATCAGCTCACTGATGTCTTTGAACTGAAGACAGGAGTAAAACAAGGCTGCATAATATCACCCATGATATTCATGATTGTGGACAGCTGGAATGGATCATGCCACAGGCAACTGTGAGCAGCGAGAAGAGCGGGATACGCTGGCTGGACCGGGAAAAGGATATTCGAAAATTTGGATTTCGCCCATGCTGATTTATGTCTAATGTCACACAAACTTGAAGATGTACAGGCAAAATCAAACAAGTTGACAGAAACGGCAGCGAAGATGTAGAGAAGAGAGAGATGATGAAGATACCCAACCAACATCACCAACAACAGCATCAACAACAAGAGACACCAATCACCATTAATGGGAGAAACTTGAAGGAAGTAGCCTACTTCACCGAAATAGGCAGTGGAGCATCGTTTCAACTACAGGTGGCACAGGCACACACGAGGGTGTAAAAGCAAGCCAAGATCAAAAAGACAGCAAGACACACCTTCCTTCATTAACCTGAAACCAGTGTGGAGATCTACTGCGCTGCACTGCACTGCACTGCACTCAGCATGTGGAACAACATCCGGATTTTCAACACAAATTCAGTCAAGTGAGCCAGTGCAGTTCTTCTATATGATGGTTGAGAGACTTGTCGGCACTTTACGAAATTGATTTCCAACACACTACAAACATTCATCAACAACTGCCACCTACACTGGCTGGATACTGAAGATCAGATGGATTGCCAGAATGGTGAGAATAAGCAATAAGGAACTCACTGTGGCTGGCTGATAACGAACCAACCGAGAAGCTATTGGTGAAGAAATATGCAGAAGGAGGTAGTGGAGATGGATTTGATTGGATTGTGCATACACTGAGAAGGCCGACTGGGGACATCACGCACCAGACCAGCCAGGTCGTCTAGTTTAACCTCGATTGTAAACGAAGAGTTGGGCTTTCGAGGCGAGGGTGACATGGAGGAGATCGTGCAAGGAGTAAGTGAGAGCTTGTGAGTTGTCATGGAGCCAGGTTCAAAAGATTTCGGAGAAGAAAGTGAAATGGTGACGTGATACTGGAGCCGTATGTTCCATAAGAAACCCAAAGGACTAATAATAATAATAATGATAATAATAATAATGATATTGTCAGCTCTACTGAAGTATATGATTTTGTAGATACAAAAAGATGTGGACTTAAATAAATAAATATTTTAATCAGTGTTTATAACCTACATGTTGGTTGGTGCGAGAATGCAATTGTCGCCTTGTTTGAATCCATAAGCTTGATAACATATTTCATTTGATTAGGTAGAGATATACAATGTCATCATGACGAAAAGATCCTTGCGTATGGCAGCAAGCTCACATTTAGCACTAATACCTTTACATGTTTCCAAATCTAAAAAAATAGATACGATCTGATAAAATAGGTATACTGCCTTGAATTGACTATAAAACTTAGAAAGGAGCTAGTTTTAGATACAACATAGTTCTCATTCATAATTTAGCTATAGTAAACCAATACCTGTGACCTAGTTACTGAGAGAAAATCAGATGTAAAACCTATTTGTTTGAAAGATAGGTTACTTACTCCTTTGTTCAAAATTTTTTGGCTTATTTTTTAATATTCAGTATGGGAGTTTGTAGAGTATATACTGGTTTCATGTTGGTATCCATCATCGACTGATATCGGTTGGGGAAGCGTTAAGAACCTGAAAACATTGGACAGCTGTTTCGTCTTAGTATGGGCTCTACTTATCAGTGGTTTATTTCAAACAAAAACTGTGGTACAGTATAGAATTCTCATCATATATTCTCTGTATATTATCTTTGGATGAAATAATCGTTGCATTTAAAGAATACTTTTGATAACAGTAATGAAAACCACAATGTAAAACAAGTACCTGACATTAAGTTACCATCTGGTTTAGACCGGTGAACGAATAGAAAATTGAGCATAATTTTGGTGGTGGTAATTTATACAATCAGTGCCAAAATCTAATATTCAACATAGTTATCCAAGGAGTTGTGATGTACCGTATTTCTATGCATTTATAAGTTTATTTCTTACCGGTGTATCATTTGTTCATTGTTTTGTAGTTAGTTTGAAAAACAGCAGTTTGAAACCATTTTAAAAGTGTTTAAGAGTAAGTGACTCGTTTCGAAGACAATTAAAAAATTAAAACAAGTTAAAAGATCGGAAGAGGTTAGGTGAATAACCGCGCTTGGGTCCTGTATGCGTGTCTCACAAACTCAGCACACATCCATGGCCTGAGTTTCTACAGTCTTTGCCAACGAAGCCTGTTGACAAATTTGAAGGAGGATGCGAACGTTGAAGGCTGCAATATGTAATCTGGAGTGTGGTTTAAGTAGACCAAGGATGCTGTTTTGTGAACTCAGATCGTTGTCGAAGGCTGCAGAGCTAGGAGAAATTGAAGGTGATATAGTATCGTTAATTGAGAGACGTGTAGGAAGACTAGAAGGTAATGATGAGGGGGTGAATAGCAGTCTGAAGAAACTTGAATGCTGACAGAGTTGTGAGGGCGGTTGACACTTCCCGGCTGCCACACCGTGGAAGGCTATTTCTTCTTAAGGTACCTGGAAGAGACTTGTGTGACCGCAGAGCCCATCGGACATCTACTTGAGGCCTGTCACACGTAGCCGCTTGAGTATGGTTATTTTAAACTTTTGTTGTTTTAGGGCCGGATGGCCAAAAAGAAACGACAAATGAACCAACACCGCCGGTCCGGCAGACCGTGGGGCATGGTTGAGTGTGTTATTTTTGGGGCCGACCTTTTCTAACCCCCCCCTTCCACTGAGAAGGCAGCATCAGCATGGCACTGCTGGTCATCCAAAGGAAACACCTTACTGCTGTCACATCCCATCCAACTAGCAGTAGTATGACTTCTCCCTCAGATCCCCATCATAGTGTAGCAATTTACACCACAGCAGTAACCGCTTTTCGTCTAATCATTGTCCAACATACTTTTCTGGTATGGTAGGACCTCGAGGGAGCAAGCGTTTCACCAGTATAGCTCGTTGGGTCATTGTGATATGCAAGCCCGATCACCACGTCAAGGTAGCAGCTATCGGTCGGGAAATTAAAAGAGGAGAATTTGATTCGATAGCTCAAAGTCTAAACAAATTGTAGTTTGCATGGCAGGATTACACATTCCCCTGATAATAATTTGTACCCAATGAGCTGCCTAAGTAAAATTGAAAAGTTAACTACTTCTAGTGATAAATAATGAATGAAATGATCATTGAATAAACATACTAACTTTCAAAGATGATAGAATCGTCCATTTGTTTGGAATTCATTAAAATTATTGAGCATGATGATTTCTTCAATACCATAGCTTATTCGTAAAGTTAGCTAATTAGAATTTGTATAAACACTAATGAAATGGGAATATACATTCAATGATAATTCATTTTGTTGTTATTACTTATATTATCCCATCGTTATTGAAAGTAACAACGTAAAAACTATACTTGTTGCACAAGAAGTGACTATCATGACTCTTTGGCCAAATGGATAAAGGTTTAATGTTTGAAGGAATCGGTCCTTAGCTGGAGTCTTAGTGGGAGCAATATCTCTAGGTAAAACGGGAAGCATATCCAGCTGACAACTCCAAAATAGAAGAAATTGTGTATTCTTGATTCGACTACTTATTATTTTATTTATTAGTCCCTTGGGTTCCTAGTGGAACATACCGCTTCAGTAGCGCGTCTCCAGTGAACTCTTTTCTCTGAGATCTTTCGAACCTGGTTCCACCACAGCCCACAAGCTCTCGTTTCCTCCTCGCACGATCTCCTCCATGTCACCCTCGGAGGTCCAACTAGTCGCTTCCCATGGGGATTCCACTCGAGGGCCTGACGCGTGATGTCCCCAGTCGGCCTTCTCAGTGCACGCACAATCCAATCCATCTCCACTCCCTCCTCCTGCATATTTGTTGGGTGATAGGTCCTTGGTTGGTTCGTTCCCAGAGCTCCTTGTTGCTTACTCTTTCTGGCAATTCATCTGATCTTCAGTAACGAGCCAGAGTAGGTGGCAGTTGTTGATGAATGTCTCTAGTTTATTGGACATTCATCATCATTCATCGACTACTAGCAAATATTTATTATCATTATTATTATTGTGATTATTTGTTTTCTATGAAAAATAATTCATACTAGTTACTGCGCATATAATCAGTAATTTAATCATTTTCTGCTTATCATTTATTCTATAACAATGAGGTCAATATATAATAATGTAGACTGATTGTAGTTGGTTGCTAGGATGCCCTAGAACTGGACTGTATAGTCCAGATTAACTACTAGATTCATTTATTTATTCTACTGCTGACAACCTATCAGAAGAGCAAAAGGAAGTCAAATCTTCATCACAATAATGATTATTATTTCAAAGATGAATTTAATTATCATTTAAATTATTGTATTTTTGAGATGAATGGGGATTTTTAATTTAGAAGTAGTATTCATCATGGACTGACATCAGTTGGTGAACCATTGAAAATCTGGGAGCGCTGGACAGCTGTTTCGTCCTAGTATGGGACTCCTCAGCAGTAAGCGCCCACCACCCGGCTAGGGGTCGAACCCACGACCTTCAGGTTTCATGGCGAACACGTTAACCATTCAGCCACTGGGTCGGTGGTTTCCAGTGGTTCACAATTTCCAACTTCTGTCAATTCACGACATAGCGCGACTATCACCCAAGATCTTCAGTTAGCATCCACTTCACTTCCGACTGGTTAGCCCCACAGGTCACGGCTTCTCATTAGAGCTTCGTGATATCCATCTGGAAGCAGTGCTCCCAGATTTTCAATGGTTCCCCAACTGATGTCAGTCCATGATGAATACTACTTCTAAATTTAAATTATTATTTAGCCTCAAAATATTATTTATTTAACGGCTTATTTTGTTTTTATTTCAGAAATGACCAAAACAATGAAATTTTTCATGATCTTTGGGTGAAATTTATTGAAAAGTCACAGAAAGAAGTTGAGGTTAGTTGTACTATAAGAGATAAAAAACTTAAACATTGATAAATTTTGCATTAGGGTAAGAAATAAAATGAATTTCACTCTCAGCAACCTTGAATAGTAACAGTTTTACATGTTTGTTAATGATTGATTCAATATGCCTTATACTGATGAAACTTTGTGCATTTTTTATACAAAATAAAACGAAAGAAGGTCAGGTAAAGCAAATATGATAACATCAAATGTTTATTAGTATTATTTGTCCCTTGGGTTCTTAGTGGAATATACGGCTGCAGTAGCACGTCTCCACTGCACTCTCCTCTCTGAAGTCTTTTGAACCTGGTTCCACTACTTTTCACAAGCTTTCATTTCTTCCTCACCCTCAGTTGGGATGCCCAACTCGTCGTTTCGTATGCCAGTACCACTCGAAGGTGTGGCACGTGATATCCCCGAATGGTTTTCTCAATCTATGACTAATCCAATCCATCTTCACTTCCTCCTGCATGCTTATGTATTGTTTATTATATTACAGACCAGGAATATGAAAACAAGTAGTCGTTTTGAAAGGATTAACAATGTGACATTTGAGTAGTTAAATTTTATTCTAGTTACAAGTGAACGAAGATAGAAAATATCCATGTGAACAATTAATCAGAAACTTAGTTAAACATGAAAGCTGAAATGTCATCTAGCAGGCATATTTATAGTGGAGAATATTTGTAGCTCATGTGGATGGTCTTGGTTGCGTTGTGTTCTCTGAGATGGGTTATTGAATCGTTAAGCTTTCATCGTCCTTCTAGACAGTGACATCATCCACAGCACTAACTTCACTATGAAGTGACCTGTCAATATCTCTCCGTCAGTGATTTAGTAGCTTGCCTTGACGAAGTGGTCTACAATTGGTTGTTTCCTTTGATTGTTGTGTCATTGATAGTATAGATTTTCCTGTTGGTTGTCCCTCTGCTTTACCTGATCTCTGACCTTTCTGTCGTTTGTCATCTTTCTCATTGGTTGGTGGATTGGGTCTATGTCTATACATCTGTTGATTGTTTACTGACTGGCCTGAATGCCAAGCTTCTAGGAATTCTCTGATATTTTTTGTGTCTCCTCAGAGAATTCCTAGAAGCTTGGTATTCAGGTCAGTCAGTCAGTCAGCAATCAACAGATGCATAGACATAGACCCAATCCACCAACCAATGAGAAAGATGACAAACGACAGAAAGGTCAGAGATCAGGTAAAGCAGAGGGACAACCAACAGGAAAATCTATACTATCAATGACACAACAATCAAAGGAAACAACCAATTGTAGACCACTTCGTCAAGGCAAGCTACTAAATCACTGACGGAGAGATATTGACAGGTCACTTCATAGTGAAGTTAGTGCTGTGGATGATGTCACTGTCTAGAAGGACGATGAAAGCTTAACGATTCAATAACCCATCTCAGAGAACACAATACAACCAAGACATATTTGTAGATTGTGGGGGAAAGATGGTATTATGAACATTTCAACCTGCCCCAAAAGTAGGGCGGTGACATATAGATGATACATTTACTTTGTTGAAATCGGAATTCATTGAGTGTTATTACACTCACTAACTCCATATTAGTCGCATTCCTGTTGTAAAATGAAAAAGGACAATTACTCATGTTGAATTCCAAAATCATGAGAAGAAAAGATGGAAATGTCGATATCAGTGTTCATAGAAAACCAATACATTTGAATAAATACTTAAATTTCACACAACCTCATCCAAAATCTGTCATGATAAGGCTGGATAAAATGTCTAACGAGCCAGGTTAAGAGTTTGACGAGGAAGCCAGAAAACCGAAATAAGGAACTGAGACACATTGCAGAGGCACTACTTTCGAAAAATGGATAGGGTCTTTTAAGAGGAGGTTTGATGAGACTAACGATAATCGCAACATACCAAAGAGGGAATTCAAATTTCCTGTAAAGTCATCATACAAAGACGGGATATCGAAAGTTTCATGTAGAGGTCTTAGCAATGCTCAGATTAGAGTGGCATTGAAACCCGTAAACTCGTTCAGAGAGAAACTTTGTAGACTAAAAGATCCTATGGAGGCAATTTAAAAAAATAACCTGACCTATCAGATATCATGTGATGATTGTGAAGTCAAGTATACCGGGTCAAAGTAACTGATCTGGGCGAGTCACAATAGCAGAGCATCGAAATTTCGTGAAGTACCCTCTACCAAGACAAATAATTTAGAGGAAAACTCATGTAACGCTTTGGATGCTTTGACCCGTAATCACACACTAGAGTGTGATAGGATGACAATTTTAAAATCCAATGTGGTTAGATGCAGAGAGAGAGAGAGAGAGAGAGAGAGAGAGAGAGATTGATCATAGAATCTTTGATTATCGAAACAACTCCTAACACACGTAACAGGAATTACTCATCACACAACAGTGGAAAATGTTACCATCATCAAAATAAAAGAATGAAGAACTGTTGGACTATATAAGAGAAGTTTGAAAGTCTTTTGTTTACTTTTATATGAATATGAGCAGTAAATTCTGTCCGAAACCTCATCTAGTGCTGTATCACTACTTGCTATATCAAATAAATAATCTAATATGAGAATATACTTCACCTCAGTAGCTTTTTCTTAAACAAAATTTGTTTAAAAATCAATACCATACTCTTTACATCTTCAGACTTTGTTGTTACTTGCCACTTCAAAGTTGTGCAAAAACTTTCATATAATTAGACGTTTGTAAGTTGACTAGTTTAAAGCTTAATAATGTGGTCTCATATAAACTTCAAAATAGCACATTTTGTAGTTCTTTATGTACACTCAAGAGGAACTGAATTGGGATTTTTGTGTACAATTTGTACTTTTGCCAACCTGATTCCAAAAGTGATCAGACTCCAGTTAAATTGGATTTATATCTGATTAGTTTGCTTCCGATTGTTAATGGTCACTTCCTTTGTCACAGAATATTATTATTATTATTATTTATCCCTTGGGTTCCTAGTGGAACATAGGGTTCCAGTAGCACGTCTCTATTCCACTCTCTTCTCTGAAATCTTTTGAACCTAGCGCCATGACTGCCTACAAGCTCTCATTTCTCTATCGCACGATTACCTCCATATCACCCTAGCCTCGAAAGCCCAACTCTCCGTTTCGCATCTGGGTTCTACTAAGCGACCTGGCCTGTTACGTGATATCCCCAATCGGTCTTCTAAGTGCATGCACAATCCAATCCATCTCCACTCCCTCATTCTGCATATTTCTTCAGCAATAGCTTCTTGGTTGGTTCGCTACCAGCCAGCCAGCCAGTTAGAGTGAGTTCCTTGTTGCTTGTTCTCACCATTCTGGCAATCCATCTGAGCTTCGGTATTGAGCCAGTGTAGGTGGCAGTTGTTGATGAATATATGTAGTTTGTTGGATATCCCTTTCGTAACGCGCCGACAAGTCTCTCAACAATCATACAGAAGCACTGGCTCACCTGACTGACATTCGTGTTGAAAATCCAGATGATGTTCCATATGTTGAGTGCTGAGTGCTGAGTGCAGTGCAGAAGATCTCCATACTGGTTTCAGGTTAGTGAAGGGAGGCCTGTCTTGCTGTCTAACCGATCCTGTCTGCTTTGATGTCCTCGTCTGTGCCTGTGCCACCTGTAGTTGAAACGATGCTCCACTGCCTATTTCGGTGAAGGAGGCTATTTCCTTCAAGTTTCTCCCGTTGATGGGGATTGGAGCTTGTTGTTGTTGCTGTTGGTGGTGGTGTTGGTGATGTTGGTTGGGTATCTTCATCATCTCTCTCTTCTCTACATCTTCGCTGCCTTTTCTGTCAACTTGTTGGATTTTGCCTGTACATCTTCAAGTTTGTGTGACATTAGACATAAATCAGTATAGGTGAAATCCAAATTTTCGAATATCCTTTCCCCGGTCCAGCCAGCGTATCCCGCTCTTCTCGCTGCTCACAGTTGCCTGTGGCATGATCCATTCCAGCTGTCCACAATCATGAATATCATGGGTGATATTGTGCAGCCTTGTTTTACTCCTGTGTTCACTTCAAAGACATCAGTGAGCCGATCTGTCCATTGTGAATTACTTGGTATGTGATGTCTTCATATAGTTGTTGAATGAGGTTGATAAATGTTTGTGGTATTCTGTAGTGTTGAAGCAGCTTCCAAATTACTTCTCGGTCGACGCTGTCGAAGGCCTTTTCAAAGTCGATGAAGTTGAGGTAGGGGTTTGACTGGCATTCTCTGTTCTATGATGATGCGAAGCGTTGTCAGAGTGAAAGGGGGATTTTACTGATTATGAAAATTTATGCGTATTCAGATGTGCAGTTTCTATGTTTAAGTAAGTTGAGTATTATTTCTACAATTAATTATCTCGTTGAGTTATCTTTAATAGTTTTTGAGCAGATTCATCAGATTCCCCGTTTTCCTAGCAAAATAACTCACTCGAGCTTTTATGGTTCACAATCGAAAGTTGAGCCAAACGGAATCGTATTAACGTTTCATTGTTATTATTAGTTTCAACGTTGCTGCTTGTATTATTCCATCGTTGAGTAAACCTAATTGATCAGTCATTATTGACATATGCGCTTCTGCGCGGATGCCTCTATATTGCCTGTGTTCCAATTATCTCTTCATTATAAATATCGGATAGAAGTGGAATCCATGATACGCCTTTCATCTTATTTGGTATGATTGAATCACACACAATATCGAGGCATCCGCATAGGGGCCCATATGCCAGTAAAAGCCTTTCAGTTCATTTCAATCAGTGACGGAATGATACAAGCAACAAAATTAAAACTATATCCGATGGACAAGAAGTTGCTATTGTATCTTAGGGGTTTAATGGATAACGCCTTGGCATTTAGAGCAATCAACTCAGAGTTCGAGTCCCATTAGGAACAGCAGTTGTTACTGAAAGGTACAAGGCGAAACATGTATCCTGGATTCTCCAGCTAGCCACTATTCAACATCAATAGATTATCAGTTATAGTTGAATTAAATGCTGAAAAGACAATGCACCAAGAGAATAATCTATTTCTGTTTTCATATGGTGACAAGTGTTGTTTTTAGTGAAATGAGTGTTTAAGTTTATTTCAAAAGTCACTTTATAGAAAACAAACAGACTTTCAATCTTAATTGATTTAATTTTAAATCATTAAACAAAACAACTGGATGTTAACTAAGGCTTAGAATTCAACATTTGATAATTAGGGTTAGCTACTTTATTCACTATGTTACTCAACTGGACTGCTCAATTCTTACTGTTCATTAGGCATTATGAAGTAGTACAAACATCCATTCATATTTACACTTATCAGACTTAATGTTAGTGTCTGTTGTTTCACATGCTTTCTGTTCATAACATAATGAGCCAGAATTTAAACTGGCAACCTGAAACAAGAGCAGCAGAACACTTGAGAATAAAGTCAGTGAAGTTTGCTATAAAGGACAATAGCGATTAAACCACCAGAATAGCCTGAGAGATAATCTAGCTTGGCTTGAGTCTAAGTGAGAATATCACTCACAGAGGTGCAGATATATCCAGCTGACAAGTCCCAAATAGAACGAAACTTGGGTCATGGATTCCCCTGCTAGCCTCAACTAAAGTGTAATGCTGAAATTGACCTACACTTTGTAATGTATACTATTCATTAGCTCTTGTTACATGATTTTGTTTCATGATAAATGTCAAATTAAAACTTACTGATAACCGAAAGGTGGTTAATTCTGTTAAACCCTATTCTGATCCACTCATTGATCAGTGCACAGTAACCAATCTCATGTTTTCCAGTCTTGAGTGCTGACTGACTTCTATCGGTCATTTTCGCAATGTGGCCACCAGGCTACAGTGCTCACTGATAGATGTTAGTTGGTTGGAAATAATCGGCAAGAAGCTATGCGGGACCAAGGTTTCATGCTTGTTGGCATTCGTCAGCGATGGGTATTTGCGACGTCGAAGGAATTCATGTCCTGATGATTGCAACGCTGGGTAACTTGGGTTCAAATCTCAGTCGAGACATCAGCTCCTCTAGGAGGTTCCAGATACGCCTTGCTGACGAGTACTAAGAAGTGTGAATAATAGGTAAAGTAGAACATCCTTCAGTTCTTTACTTGAACTAACTACCAATTACCTACTGAAAGATTGACAAAATTTTCATAAGAAGCTGCTAACGCCTATAGCCGGTTTCCACCTATCGCTTTGCTTAGAAATTTCCGGAAAAAACACGTGAACCAACATGTAAGTATCAGGTTGATTGAAGGGATGAAAAATCAATAGAATTTAAATGTAGTGGACCTGGGAATAGACAATGCTATTGTAATAAAAATATAAACCTTGTATTTTGAATGTATTGTTGACGTTGCCGTTGACATTATAAATACACCTGCTGTTCTACTGTCACCTTTCCTATTTACGGAGAAACTGAGTGACCTTTAAGGGTGGAATCTGAAGGCATCTGTACAAAGTTTCCTCATATATAATAGTCCGTACATACATATAACTTAGGCTATATCGTCACAACAAAGACATATATGAGTGGAGCTATATAAAAGTGGCGATAGGCAAAAATATGGCAACTTTTTCTAATGAAGAATTTCTAACTTTGTTGTAACGCTATAATGAAAAAATGGAAGTCTCACCACTGAGGATTATTGAGAAATCCAAGCAAATGTTGGTTGATATTCAGCTAGAATCTACATCCATAAATCTTCAGATTTTTGGAAAGACTTTCCGTAAATGCTTCACTGATGGACATAGTAAAGATGAAAATGAGTTCAAGAAGCCTGATAACATGAATCATGTTACGTCGATGGATGAGAACGATATTAATCCCTCCACGAAATGGAAAATGATGCAGACATTCAGTCAGATCATGTTGATAGAAACCATGAAGTACTTGTCGAGAGTGATGTTACACGTTTAGTGCCATCCAGCCATTCTACAACTACACTTAACAAGGAATGTCTACAAGAAGTTCTCAAGGAGTACCAGTAAAAACCTGAACATCGACTTCAGGAATCACACAGATACCTAAGGGGGTTCAAAGCCTCTTTAAACACATCAATTGAAATATTTGCCTGTCGTGATAGTGGTCTACTTTATCGAAAACGATTTATGTCCATAAGAGAAAATGGACACCAGGGCTGTCTGCAAGCTAGGTTCACTTCAGACATCATAGTCAACTGGAAAACCCTGAATCCACCGAAATTTACAGTTGCATCAAGCTGTAAGAAGCAAGTCGTCAGGGTAGAATACTGTGGTGTTGACTCTGGCAATTCAAATACTTAACAGTCTACTTCTTTTAAACAGAGAAGAGTAGGCTCATCAAATGTTATCCTTTAAAATGTCAGCAAATCATCGCACTCATATCAAACAGCAGTTAAATTACTTCAGACTACGCCACAGCACAGAAACAGCAGAAGAATGTTATGGAATAACGTGTCACGATCCAGCAAAACGTTACCGGTCAGTCGAAAGACATTATTATACTATCAGCCTGTGTTTCAAGCGACAGGTGTTATAGTGTGCAGAAGCTGCGTATGCCTAAAGCCTTTTTAAACCTATCGCTTTGCTTCGAAATTTCCGAAAAAAACATCTGAACCAACATGTAAGTATCGGGTTGATCGAATTTAAATCTAGTCGGCCTGGAAATAGGCATGACCGTGATTATATATATATATATATATATATATACACGTTATATTTTGGATATGTTGTGAAGTTTGCTGTTGACGTTGTGAATACACCTTCTGTTCTACTACCGCCTTTTCTATTTATGGAGAAACAGAGTGACAGACAACGGGTGGAATCTGAAGGCATCTGTACACATGTCCACATTGACATAATTCAGGCTCTATCAAGTCACTGCAGAGATATAAAAAAGGGGTGACTAGAGCTACGTGAAAGAAAAAATCAAGGAATTTATATTCAAACTTTTATAAAATTGAAATCGAATATATTTTCTCATTATTGTTCACGTTGCATATCAAAGTTTTTGCATATAGTATATACTCATTCAACTTCATTGTTGTTTTTATACTTAAGCTTCATGAAGTTATTGTTCATGAGACCAAAACCAAAGTAGTAGCACCTTTACAATGGATTGTTAAGCATAGGAGGCAACAGATTTCACGTTTGAAAGATTTTCGTACTGTAACTGATTCAACTCTTCAACAGTGTACTGAAAGAATTGATGAGGTAAATTGTTAACTGTATTACAATAATATACTTTCTCTTAAATTTTATGAAACGTACTAGCTATTTTATCATGATAGCTACTCGAAATGATAATTTGAACGTTCTAGGAATAACTGATTTCATAAGATCAGATGTTTTCATTTATTTTATTATACAACAAGTGTATAGCTCAGAATACCATTGCTTTTAGTACTAATACTATATAAATTGTGACTGGAATGGGAATGTAATAACCTCTGATGATAGTCACATTCGTAACTTAGTTTTCCTTCTGTGGCTCTTCACCATATGGTTTGCCCTGAAAATTGACAGTTGAACATTTTAGGAGATAATGACATCAATTACTGATTATAGAACTTAGGCCGCGTATTTCGAGAGTACTTTTAAACTTACCATTTATATTTGAATACAAATACATCTGGAAATGTGTACGTAAACACTTGGATTTGGAGTTAAGTTGATATGGTCACATACTGGTTCACGTCTTACCTTATCTTTAGTAAAATATACTAAGTGGAGTAGGTGGATTAATGATGGATTGTGACTAGTAGTGGAATCCAGGATGCGCATTTCGTCCTGTTTGGGACTCACTAGTTAGCTGGATGTACCTGCCTCCCTGTAAGTGATGTTGTTCCCACTGGGACTCGGACTCGGGAGCAATCGCTTCAAACGCGAGAGCGTTATTCACTACACCATCGATCAGCGATAGCCACTTCTTGTGCAACGGAGTAGGAGGATGTTTAAAATTATGGAAATGATCTTTTCAATGGAAAAAAATGAATATATTTATTGATGAAGCCATACTCTTATGAGGTAACCGAATGACAACTGCAGACCAATATTCACTGACTTCCTATCAGATCAAATAATTAATGACTACTGAGTATACTTTGATGTGATATGGTCATGAAAGTTAACTGAAGGTTTGTTTCTTATTATGGTCACTGAATTAACATTAAATGAATAAATTAGAGTTGACATATTCTCTCAGTTAGCTGGTTGTAGTTACCTTAACTTCATAAAATTTTGAAATGTAAAACAGCAATGCCGACAAATTCTCCGTAAACATAACTTTAAAACCACCAACCACTTAATGCAGATTTTTAGGAAAATGCTTGATATTATGAAAGCCAAGATGATTGTTATTTTAGTTCAAGTCTATTAAAAAGATAGTCGAAACAAGTGAGAAACAATCAAACCTCTTCTTAAATCTGAAGAGATTATTCTGTGAAAACTTCAATAGTTTCAAGTTATTCTCAACAACACTATTAAACAGTCATGACTATGACATAGAGATGAAAATAAGGTAGTTACAAAGCAGTTTTCACCATGAACTTACATCTGTTGGATAATCTTTAGAAAGACTAAGCTTCGATACCACTTCCCCCATTGAATAGAACTTCTCATCAGTGTACACTGATCACAGTATGCTAATTCATACCTAGAAGCATCAGGTATCATGGTGATCACGTTTTCATTCAATCATTAGGTTGGAGTTTAAAGTCAACTTTTCCAAATTTTGTCAATAGTCATCATCTAGTTTCATTGTCATATGCTCATCCCTTCATACGGTCATGAAATGGCATTGCTGAGAAAGTCACAGTTGAGTAGCATTACCAAATTGCAAATGATTTAAGAATTTCACGGTCCATCTTGACACTTCTTCCAGCTGAGTAGTTTATCAATTACACACGTAACCAAGATGATCTCTGACATAAAAATTTAATGAACTAACGGAATAAACTACGGAGCAGCATGAGTATTTGGAAACTACTCATACCAATCTGTTGAATTCGGTAGCCAGACATGGGCAATCTAAGCACTGAACAGCTATTTCACTAGTTTGAAACCAAGCTTACCAGTGGTATACTCAGACTTATTCTGATTAGAGAAATCTAACGATCAGTTTTATAATTCGTCAAACTGTTCAGTAGTAGTTAGTTCAGGACACTTTCCTGTCGGAGATAACACCTTTTAATCTTGCCTGGGTAGCATTTGAAAAACTGTTCAACTGTGAAAAATGTCAAGATACACCATGTAATTTGTAGATCATTTGCAAATTGATCATCCTATTTCAGATATATCGGTTCATACAAGTTAGCTAGCCAGATCCGGCTTTATGAGCTGAGCTGGTTAAATCTACAGATAAGTTTAAGTGGCTTTCAACTACTTAAGTCGTTCAGTAGTATATTTCACTAAATCCATCTTTCTTTATGTTTTTCTCTTCTTGTTTCCAATGATTTCTAGATGATATTAGTTCGTTAGAAAAACCGGTAGTGATGTCAGTTGATTTTTTAGGTACTTAGTTGAAATATAACGATTTTGCATGGACTTGTATGGAAGTCAGTCCATGCAACTAACAAAGTTTTATGATAACTAACCTTATTATCGGGGAAGGGGAAGTCATTTTAATACCTGTCATCTTAATTTTGATGATACAGAACAGTGAATTATACTGAAATATATTTCAGCAGGAAAAGCAATATGAGTTATTAACAGTTTATCAATAATGCTATGAAAATGATGCTTCTACCAACTTGGAGACTGTTTAATGCTGTCGGTTAAATTCGGTTAAAGAACTAAAGCATTGTGTAACCCCCATCTGATTTATTTTACAGTTGGCTTTAACACCAGTTATGATGAATTATGACCTCCGATATGTCACTCAGAATCACGATTTTCCATGAGGACTAGCTTGAAGTCTCCATAACCAGATATTGATTCACTAGGTGATATCATCAGGGTCCTCTTAATCTTAACTTGTATGATCTCCTACAATATCAATTGTCCAGCTATCACTGCATAAAACTTTGTCACTGTTAGATGACATTATGTTTATTTGATGCCCACTGAGTTGTGAGTTTCAATTGCTGGAACCAGATTTAAGCGGAAATTACAAGTCTTCATTTCTTAGGAATGTTAGAGTCGTTAGTAAACAGCCTATCTACAACCCCATGTTTGATTAATGGAGATTTGCGACAGTTCTGTCACAAGTATAACTTGTCTGAAAAATGCTACTTATTTCGAAATAATAAGTTGGGTCAGTTGCAATCAACAATTTCATCACTAACATAAAGGAATGAATAGAAAAACATGAGTACTAATTATCTAGGTATACACGAAAGACATTATTCTTGCTTATCTGATTAAAATATATACCACTGCTTGCTTGTTGCTTTGGACATAGACATAAAGAAAGTAGACAAAATGAATATAATCTATAGAATATTGAATAAATACAGGTGAACATTGGTTTAATGTATTACTAATAAAACAATGATGAAAAAAAGATACCCTTTTTTGGCTTGCTTTTTATTATGAATAGATTTTAGCTTCATTCATTTTATACAAACATTTCGCTTAGAACCTCGTGTTGCTATGTAGGGTTAAATTGTTTAAGCTCTGTTGATATAAGGGCTTCTGTGTAGTTGTCTCGATACTTCTCGGTTACTCCTTATGTTGTGATCTACTTGTTGGCTAGCAATGGAATCTACGATAAGCGTTTCATCCTATTTGGGGCTCGTCGGCCTGATGTATTCGCACCCCAGGGAGTGTTGTTGTTCCAGTTGACATTTGAGCGCAGTATCCATCGCTTTAAACCCCAAAGCGTTATCCGTTAGAACACTGGGGTGCCGGAGCTACCTCTTATTTTCAGGTTTTCACATAGCAGCCTATCGGCAAAAGAGGCTGATCGGTTCGACCCAGCATAGCAACAGGAGATTACAAGCATCCAGCAACACCTGATACAGGTTTCCCAATAGCTGATTCTCATGCCTCATCGGCCTGGTGGATAATTTATTTGGCGTTTTAAGCGATTGGTACTGGGTTGGAGTGTCAGTGGGAACAACATCACTCACTAGGGTGCAGGTACATCCAGTCAACAAGTTCCGAATAGGTTGCAACGCGCGTCTTGGATTCCAAGCAGATTTCGCTTAGAATTCCTTTTATTTCATATGATTGATATAATCGAGGAACAACTGCTGCCATCACTAGTAGTAATCTGGGTGATCTTTGTCCACAAAGCTGGAAGCAGAATCCAGTACGCACTAACTGTCCCATTTATGAATTTTCACTTGGATTTAGTGCACTGAACTGAATACCGGTGTACCCACTAAGAATTAGATGAAGCATCCACAGTTTTAGATGGCAAAGTGTTGTCTACTAGACTACTGTGTTGCAATAGCTCAGTCTTGTTAAACAGGTACACTCCTGTCTGTTCAGTTAGTAATAAAGTAGACATTTTTATTCCTACTGTATCCAGTTGTTTAGAATTACAGAAAAGGCAAGAATCTAGTCAACTAGAACAGCTAATCTGGTTCACTTTTGAATTCTGACGTGACCAATGAAGTATTCATTTCGAAATAATTTCACTTTAGCGATATTAGACAAGCTACAGAAATCTATGTCGTATTATCGAAAGTAAGTGGATTTGTTATATTGCCGTTGTGTAAATCAGTGTGGAAGATAGGACAAAACCTTAGAGAAGAGAGACAGTCTAAATGAATAATAGGACATAATGTGACATTGAAATACTTTCTACCATATCGAATGTTTTCTTCAGTTGAATCCTCAAATTTTACTATCCAAGAGTAAAACAGCAGGAATTAAATATTCTGTTACATAAATCAATGGAAATGTGTTAAATATTTTAGGGTTAATAACTATCATATTCACATATTTATTTCTCTAGTTACACGGAAATTATTCAGAACTTTATAGAATCCATCGTGAAGTTTTACAAACTAAGGCCATAAAGGACTTAATGAATGCGCATAACTCTTATGTACTTCAATTGCATATGACAAATACAATGAAAGAGTATTACCATAACCTTATCTTACCACAATTAATGCAGGTTAGTTAAATTTCAATATTCTAATAACTTTAGTTAGCTTTCTGCTGTTTTGATAATCACTTTAAAAGGGTATAGGTGATTTTCATTTCTTTAGTTACTAAAAACCTACTGAATGCGATCCTTATTTGTTAAATTTCGTCAATGTCATTGAATCTAACTTTATGCATCAAAAGACAGAGAACATGTTGTGATGTAAGGTTGTTTTTCATGTTTTACTAACGTATACATACACTTTATCGAATGGCAACTTCTATAGATTATAATAATATGAATATTTCTGATATAAAACACAGTTAAGTATGTGTTTTTTATTATTATTATTAGTCCCTTGGGTTCCTAGTGGAACATAGGGGTTCAGTAGCACGCTTCCAGTGACCTATGTTCTCTGAGATCTTTTGAACCTGGCTCCACGACAGCCCACAAGCTCTCATTTCCTCCTCGCATGACCTCCTCCATGTCACCCTCGACACCGACGCCCAACTCGTCGCTTCCCATGGGGATTCCACTCGAGCAACTGGCCTGACGCGTGATGTCCTCAGTCGGCCGTCTCAGTACATGCCACTTCAATCCATCTCCACTTCCTCCTGCATATTTGTTGCGTGATAGGTTCTTGGTTGGTTCGTTCCCAGAGTTCCTTGTTGCTTATTTTTTCTGGCCATCTGATCTCCAGTAGCGAGCGTAAGCAGTTGTTGATGAATGTCTGTAGTTTATTGGAAATCCCTTTCGTGACGCGCCAAGTCTCTGAACCATACAAGAGCACTGACTTGACGTTGGTGTTGAAAATCCGTATCTTGTTCCGCATGCTGAGTGCAGAAGATCTCCAAACTGGTTTCAGGCTAATGAACGCCTGTCTTGCTTTTCCGATTCTGACTTTGACATCCTCGTCCGTCCCGCCTGTAGTTGAAACAGTGCTGCCTAGGCAGATAAGTGAAGGAGGTTACTTCCTTCAAGTTTCTCCCGTTGACGGTGATTGGAGTTTGTTGTTGTTGGTGGTGCGGTATCTTCATCACTTCTGTCTTCTCTATATTCACCTGAAGTGCCGTCTTAGCTGCCTCTTCTATCAACTTGTTAGTTTTTGCCTGCAGATCTTCAAGTTTATGTGACATCAGGCACAAGTCACCATTGGCGAAATCCAAGTCTTCTAGGTTCTGTTCCGTCGTCCAGTGTATCCCACTCTTCTCGCTGCCTACTGTTTGCTGCATGATCCAGTCCACCACAATAAGGAATATCATGGGGGATAGTAGGCAACCTTGTTTCACTCCTGTCTTCACTTCAAAAGCATCACTCAGCTTCCCATTGTGAATTACTTGGCTGACATGTGGCCTCTTCATATAGTTGTTGAATGAGGCGGATAAAGGTTTGCGGTACTCCGTAGTATTGAAGCAGTTTTCAAATTACTTCTCGGTCGACGCTGTCAAAAGCCTTCTCAAAGTCGATGAAGTTGAGGTAGAGAGCTGATTGCCATTCTATGCTCTGTTCTATGATGATGCGAAGCGTTGCAATTTGGTCTGCACATGATTTGTACTTCCTGAAGCCTGCCTGTTCCGGTCGTAGTTTTGAATCCAGTGCATCTTTCAGCCTCTCCAGGATGATGCGGCTTAATATTTTACTTGCTTTGGGTGGACAGGAGAGTGATTCCGCGCCAGTTCTTGCAAACACTGAGGTCTCCTTTCTTCGGCAGTTTGACAAGGTAACCCTTCTTCCAATGAATGGCCAGGTACCTTCTCTTCCTTCCACACCTTCTGCAATAGTGGTGTGGTGTGAGCATGTCCGCTGTTGTCCCTGTGTCTGCTCTCAGTGCTTCTAACGGGATCCCATCTAGTCCTGCTGCTTTCCCACATTTCAGTAGTTTTATGACGCTCAGGACTTCCACTTTTGTTGGAGGATTTATGCTCACTTGTAGTTCGGCGGCTGTGCTGTAGGTGGTATTTGTGGACGAAGTGCAAGTGGTGGTGGTGGTCGATTCAAGAGCTTCTTGAAGTGGTCGGTCCATTGTTTTCTCTGTTTCTCTTCTTTCGTAATTAAATTTCCTTCATCATCCTCTATTAGTTTCGTCTGTGTTGATCTCTTCCCAGATAGTAACCTTGTTATTTGATACAATGTTGACAGGTCTCTCTTACCTGCAGCCTGTTCTGCTTCACTTGCCAATGTTTCGTAGAAGTGTCTTTTGTCTTTGCGTGCACTCTTCTTCACTTCTTTGTCCCAGGTATCCATCGAGATCTATTCCTCTTCCTGTCTTCTTTCTTCTTCCTTCCTAATATTGTTGTGCAGGTTTCTTTCCACATCTCTTTCAAAGACTTCCAGTGCTCATCCACACAGGTTTCTTCAGGGATGTCTCTCGATGTCTCCCATTTTGTCTTGATGGCTGCTTTGAAGATCTCCTTTGTAGTTTCGTCCTTCAGTTTCCGAGTGTTGTACTTGAACTGTGGTCTATCACCAGCTTCCTTGAAGGCTTTTAACTTGATTTGCAAGGTTCCTTGCACTAGACAGTGAGTGGTCTGAACCTACATCTGCTCCTCTTCTTGACCTTGTGTTAAGTAGACTGTGTCTCCATTTTTTTGAGATTGAGATAAAGTCGATTTGATTTTTAGTGTGTCCATCTGGTGAAATCCATGTCGCTTTGTGGATATCTTTGTGCCTGAACACACTGCATCCAATCACCAAATCGTTGAATGCACAGAATTCTGCAAACAATTCTCCATTCTCTTTCATCACCTCACCGAGCGCTTCTCGACCCATGGTTAGTTCTCTTCCTGTGTTGTCCGCTCCCAGTTTGGCATTCATGTCGCCCATTAGAATTTTGATATCGCTAACTGAGTCGGTGTCTTGTCCAGTGTTGATTGGAGTTGTCTGTAGAATTCCTCCTTTTTCTCTTGCTCTGCATTATTTGTAGGTGCATAGCACTGTATGATTGTGACCTTCCTTCCTTTTGAGTTGAATCTTGCTGTCATGATCCTGGAGGAGATTGGTTCCCACTGCATGAGAGACTCCCATGCTGTTGGAGACATCATGATAGCCACTCCATAACTCAGTGTGCTCGTGGTTAGCGTCTGGGTGACCGGAGTAGATTATTGATTCTCCAGTTGACAGTTTGGAGAGTCCACTCCCATTCCATCTGCTTTCGCAAATCCCAAGCACTTCGATGTGATACCTTCTCATCTCCTTTGCAATCTGGGCTGCCTTGCTGGGTTCAAACATGGTGCGGACATTCCATGTCGTTATGTGTACTTTCGCTTTCATGGAGGGAGAGAAGACACATCGGCCGGGTCAATTGGCTTCCCGAAGGCTTTCACCAACTGGCGTCATTTCGCCTCTCCGATTCCAGCGGGGAATAAGTTTGTTTTCATTTTTTATATTTTGTTTGTGCTTTGAAGTTTGTTTAGCGGTTAGATTTGTTTTCCGGGGTAGGGTTGCTAGCCCTATGCCCAACCTTCCCTGTTTACCCGGGCTTAGGACCGGCTAGTAACTAGTAAACTAGTTAACCAGGCGAGGTTAAGTATGTGTTGCTAATTACTAACTCTTTCAATGTTCATTATTTGAATGAAGATTTACATGACCTATCTTAGTGCTCCATTCAGAAAGTGACTTATTGGCGGACAAGGAAAGGGTAGCTAGAGGCGGGTAGCTGCTACCTTGAACTAGTGGCCAGGATTACATGTCACAATAAACCAACAAGCTATGCTAGTGGAACGCATGTTCCCTCGAGGTCCCAGGATATCAGAAACATCTGTTGGATAGAAGTAAGACAAAAACAGTTATCATTATAGTGTAGGTTACTACTCTGTGGTAGATAGGGAGACAAACTAGGGTTAAGCAGTACTGATGACTGTACGGGGGGTTGACAAGCTGTGCCTTATCGATTCTGTTTTATCTATATGAAGAAAGGGATTAACAAATGTTGGCCATAAAAGCAGTAAGCTATCTTCTACCCTATGGTATACCGGTGCAGGTGATATGGGTTGACGCTCGGATCTGATAATATCAAGCTAAGATAGACTTCTAAAACGACCATGTGTGACTGGTTTCAAACAAATGCTTCTTGAACTCTTTGGTTATGCACTAAATTTTTTTTCCTGGTAATCCAAGGGGAACTAATCTCCATTATTTGGATGTGTTATGATGTTAATTGAACTTTGAAAATCAAGCTTCTTTTCCTTCATCTGCTGTAAACTTTACAAGCAGTAGTCATAAAATAGGAAATATTCATTTACTATTTATAGGCCTGGAAATTACAAGGATGAATGACTTGTACTCAAAAAGCGTGGCAAAAATAACTCTATTTAATTTACACTTACTTAAAAATTAGTACAAACAGATCTTGAAGTTTAGTTAGAGAAAGAAACTATTGGAAAAATAATGACACTTTTGATTTGTTTGTACTCTTTAACAGTATTTTGTCTAGCATACAAGCTAATTTGAACTATAACTAATCACACTGCGATGATTCCACGGTATTAAACGTAAATTTTCGGCTTATTTTCTCCTGAGTCAATGTCATATTTTATTATTATTATTATTAGTCCCTTGGGTTCCTAGTGGAACATAGGGCTTCAGTAGCACGCCTCCAGTGACCTATGTTCTCTGAGATCTTTTGAACCTGGTTCCACCACAGCCCACAAGCTCTCATTTCCTCCTCACACCATCTCCTGCATATCACCCTCGACACCGACGCCCAACTCGTCGCTTCCCATGGGGATTCCACTCGAGCAACTGGCCTGACGCGTGATGTCCTCAGTCGGCCGTCTCAGTACATGCCACTTCAATCCATCTCCACTTCCTCCTGCATATTTGTTGCGTGATAGGTTCTTGGTTGGTTCGTTCCCAGAGTTCCTTGTTGCTTATTTTTTCTGGCCATCTGATCTCCAGTAGCGAGCGTAAGCAGTTGTTGATGAATGTCTGTAGTTTATTGGAAATCCCTTTCGTGACGCGCCAAGTCTCTGAACCATACAAGAGCACTGACTTGACGTTGGTGTTGAAAATCCGTATCTTGTTCCGCATGCTGAGTGCAGAAGATCTCCAAACTGGTTTCAGGCTAATGAACGCCTGTCTTGCTTTTCCGATTCTGACTTTGACATCCTCGTCCGTCCCGCCTGTAGTTGAAACAGTGCTGCCTAGGCAGATAAGTGAAGGAGGTTACTTCCTTCAAGTTTCTCCCGTTGACGGTGATTGGAGTTTGTTGTTGTTGGTGGTGCGGTATCTTCATCACTTCTATCTTCTCTATATTCACCTGAAGTGCCGTCTTAGCTGCCTCTTCTATCAACTTGTTAGTTTTTGCCTGCAGATCTTCAAGTTTATGTGACATCAGGCACAAGTCACCATTGGCGAAATCCAAGTCTTCTAGGTTCTGTTCCGTCGTCCAGTGTATCCCCCCCATGTCCCCACGTTTACTTTCGCTTTCATGGAGGGAGAGAAGACACATCGGCCGGGTCAATTGGCTTCCCGAAGGCTTTCACCAACTGGCGTCATTTCGCCTCTCCGATTCCAGCGGGGAATAAGTTTGTTTTCATTTTTTATATTTTGTTTGTGCTTTGAAGTTTGTTTAGCGGTTAGATTTGTTTTCCGGGGTAGGGTTGCTAGCCCTATGCCCAACCTTCCCTGTTTACCCGGGCTTAGGACCGGCTAGTAACTAGTAAACTAGTTAACCAGGCGAGGTTCAATGTCATATAGGAGAGAAATATAAATAATTTTCTACTGAAAAGTATCTGAAAGCAGAGTCTAGTGTTAAATGCAACAAAATATATATCTGTGTTTGGTATGGCGGTGTATAAGGATGACAGTTCAACCTTCTTTTTAAAGGAATCTTTTCAGACCTTGCACAGACTGGTGTGTGTGTGTGTTGAGGAGTGGTAATGAACCTGAGTTAAAAGACAAACAGATAAAATTAGAATAGAACCTAGCACATAAATGCATCGGTCCAACCTACCATAATTCACAGTGGTATACAAAAACCTATTGGATAGAAAAAGAGTAACATCAAAATGGATAAAGTTATGTGAGAGAATAAACAATAGAGAATAATGCAAATATTCAAGCTTTAGAAGGTATCAAGGAGTGAATACATCTGCGCGGTCATTGTGATCGATTTTCAGCAATGTCACTAAGAATTCTCACTCACTGATTACTTTCGTCTTGGGGACCCTAACCAGACAGGCTACATCTTCCTACACTACTGAGACCAACAGTCAGGGACTTCATTAACTGGTGCCACTTGTTCGTTTGGCCATCATGAACCCTCTGCTAACTAAATCTAACTTCCCTAGTATCGCGCGTCAAAGTAGGTGATGGCTTGGTGAGCACATATCCAAGCCATCTCAATCGACTTGGATTCACAACCTCATCAATCGATTTGCCTTTCTTGCCAGGTACTCTTCATCTATCCTCTACATTGAGAAAGTGGTAATTCCACCATATGCAAGCGATACCAAGAAGATAAACGTGGTTAAAAGCCTGTAATCGCTTCATATCTTCTAATTCCAATGGCTATATCTCACTGGTGTATGGCAGGACAGATAGGACTTCAGTGCAGCATATTCTTCACTGAATAGGTAGTCTCTTATCTTGTCAGTCAACCCTATAAATAAAGGAAGTTGGTGAATACAGAACAGGTCTTCTGTATCCGAGCTGATATTTTGTCAGCAACCAGTTCGTTAGGGCTACTACAACCTCCTACGTAAGTAAAGTGGTCGACGTATTCAACCACTTGGCTGTCCAACATTAAACCGGGAGTAGTTGCAGATCACTCCTGGAGCATCATCCACATTTGACAGGAGTGGGATTCATGATAAACATATACAGATTTCTGCTCAACCCATTCAGAGGACCCTGTTTCATTTTGTCGGTGTCTTCCCATATTGCAGCAGTATTGTCTGCATACTCCAAGTCAACCAGATGATCTCCAGGAAGTAGACCGTTTTCTGTAAGGTCAGACGTACCCAAGGTTACGTCCATTGGTACGTCTATGACGAAGTTAAGTACGAACGGTGACAATGGGTATCCCTGGCAAACACCACTAGCTGTCGTGAATTCTGATGACAACTCTCCAGAAGCCCTTACATGGACCCTAGGATCTTGGATACAATATCAGTCAAACTAATTCCTGTATGGTTGTCACAGGAAGACACCTCTCTCTTCCGATGGCCTGAAATGATCAAAGAAGCAGAGTAGTATGATGGGATTACCTCTAATTCCCATACACTACCTAGCACCTTCGTTACCTAAAATAACAATTTCCTACCTCCATCTTTGGAAATGTCTGGTCGCAGACTGTCACGTCGTGCTGCTTTGGATCATCTCAGGTTCGACACAGCCTTCTCCACTAAAAAGAAAGTCGGGGGACTGACATTTTAGTCTCATTCAGGTTCAGGATGGATGTTGGTCAACTGCAGCGTTGATGAGAGCTAGTTGAACCATGCTTTAAAGTGTTGTGCTCAACATTCTAGTCGTCTGTTCTGGGAAGTTATCAGGGTACCATCCTTGACAGTGACGGTTTCATTAACCAATGTTTTCTTTTTGCCAGTATCCTTAATAAGCCTGTGTAGTTACCGAGTGTTACTCAAAGCTAATGCACTCTCCATCTTTCTCATCACCCACAACTACTCGCGACCGATGCGAAAACTCCTGGTCGATTTACATTTCAGTTGCTTTCACTCTTCATTGTGGTCACAGTCAGCTGAAATCAGTCTTCTCGCATTAATCAGTTTGGATATCGGTGCGGAAATCCATTGACATTTCCTAACCTTAAGGTGTAGGTTACCAAATGCATTTACATCTATTTCTAAAGCAGATTTAATATGACGTCAGGTTTCTTTAGAATGAGCACTTCTATCGTATGCATATACATATTGATCAAAACATATCACGTCTTGTCTTTTTCAGGATATACATGTCTTTATTAAGATTGTATAACTTCTTTTCAAAAGCTTAAAGCTTTCTTCTGATCACTGAAAATGTTCTGAATCTCTATGGAAAAGAATTCAATTATGAATACTTTTTTTGTTTGATTGGTTGCCTTAGGGTAATCAAAGCTTGCTCAGTACACATCTCACTCTGATACAGAGACATTTTTATATAGTTACGTAGTTTAATGACTGCTGTAGAATTTAGCTGGAGCTTGTAAACTAACATAATTAGTATTATCTAATTGGTTTCCCAACATATATTTGAAAGGTGTATCCTTCTAAGTAACTTTCATGCTACCATAACAATGTCAGTAATATTTACTGAAGTTTTAGGGAATTATTAGACATACTGAAAAGTTCTATTTTAACTTAACTGTATGGATTCGCCGTAAACGAAGAGCTTTAACGCAACTACAAAGTATTAAATAGAAGGTTATATCAAAATAATCTATAAAGGTAGATCTACTAGTCAGTAGTGTAGATTATAAAATAGAAGAAAACACCTTCAGATGCCACCAGGATACTTTTAGGAGGATGAGGCTAAAAGTTATTCCGAGGTGTTTTCGTGCCTGTTATCGGATGTAGCGTTCTGTGTACAAGTTCGCGTATTTTCTGTAAAGGCTGTATGCATATTTGACCTATTTTAATAGTTTCTTATACGCTCTCAGTCATACCATTTATTCATATATAAAGTATCGGTTACACTTTCATCTCCTAGTTGGAATGTAAGTACATTTATTTATGAAGAATGATGCTCACAGATCAAAGTAAGTTAATTGAACCTTCAAATTGCATGAAAAAGGATTTATAGTTTCAGTTTTCACTTCAAAATATATACTTATAAAGGATAGAGAATACCCATTTTTACACAGAACACTATAAAACCTAAGGATAACATTTAGTCTCGCTCATAACCTTGCAAAGAATCTTCAAAATAATGTGATTTTACTGCTATTTCGCTTACCTCATTGGTATATATTTACTTTCCGGAGCCTCAGATTCCTTGGTTATCAATCAGTTCAAAGATAATTTCTTAGTTGGTTGAAACGTTGTAGGAAATAATACGACGAAACGACTAGATAAGGCATTTGATCATTTGGTACACATCACTTATGCAATATAAAGAGTGTAGGCCTTCAGCTGGTGAATTCCAAGCAACTTATTTTTTCGGATCAGCTTATGAAAGTTCTGTTGCCTTCTATCCTTATGTTACCTAAATTATCAATTAAAAACAACATCCCATCTGACTGACTTCTTTAATAAGTCAGCAAAAAATGTTTGACATTTACTCGACACATATTACACCTTACATTACTGCGTCACTGGAGTGTAAGCAACTTCATGTTGTCCATTCCTAAGTACTGATCGAAATCTGTCGATCGTTTTGCAATATGATAAAAAGGTCAGGAGACTCATCACCACGATTCAGTGAGATAGGTGTTAGTTGTATGAAGGCAGTTGGTAGGAAGCCCTGAAACTAGGTTTCGTGCTTGTTGTCACTCGTCAGCATTGTGCATCTGAAACCTTGTCAGAACTAATGTCCCGTCTGAGGTTGGAAACCACATTGTCCAGTGCTCCAGTCGGAGACGTTACCATAGAGTAATTTGGGTCACGATTAGCATCCTGTAAGGCTGGATCACTGCTCGCTGTAGAGTAATCAAATCCATGGAATAGCATCTCCAACTGCAGCATTCAGTGTCGCAGGTTCGAATCTCAGGTAGGGCATCAGTTCCTTCCAGGCTTCTGACGGAGTGTTGGCAAGCACAAAACGTATATCAAGCAGGACTTCCTATTGAATGCTTCCTTCCACCTAATATGGGATATATATATATATATATATGATGCAGGTTAAACATAAACTTGTCATAGATCAGTAGACATTGAATTACATAGCTAAGTGAAACCGTATTTTACTAGAAAGAAAACTTATACATCTCTTTCAAACTTCTAAATATTTCACCAGTGCCAACAGTAGTAAGCATATTTAAATGCAGACGAATAATTTGTCTGTTGATATTTTTTGATTCTAATAGGAATTTGAAACAATAGTCAGAGAGAATACAATGGAATTTGGACAGATTTTTGATTACTATTGTTCAATTCATACAAATATGGTGAGTGATGTTTTGTTCAGTTTCCTGTGTTTTCATTTTATACTGAGGACAAAGAATGGATGAAATTGTACCGTAGTTTACGAATTGCCTTTTTATGATTTTCTGTACTGAAAAAGTTTTGATTTATTTTCATAATTTAACTGACTGATTCCTAAAAAAGTAATTACTGTCTTTTAACATGAGAAACATGAAAGTACTGCACTGGATTCACCTATTTCTGTGTTGTTCTACCCAGTCTTCTATTTATTTTATTTACTGATTTACTAGTTCTAAATAGATGCAATATCATTTCTTTGGTCTAACATTAATTAAACGTACATGTATTTATATAAGCTGTTAAAAGGCAGTGTCCAACCAACAACACCATCAACAACAAGAGACACTAATCACCATCAACGGGGGAAACCTAAAGGAAGTAGCCTGCTTCACCTATCTAGGTAGTGGAGCATCGTTTCAACTACAGGCGGAACAGGCACACACGAGGACATCAAAGCAGACAGGATGGGAAAGACAGCAAGACACGCCTTCCTTCATTAACCTGAAACCAGTATGGAGATCTGCACTCAGCATAAAGCGTGAACAACATCCAGATTCTCAACACAAATTCAGTCAAGTGAGACAGTGCAGTGCTTCTATATGATGGTTGAGAGACTTGTCGGCACGTTACGAAATTGATTTCCAACAAACTACAAACATTCATCAACAACTGCCACCTACACTGGCTGGTTACTGAAGATCAGATGGATTGCCATAATGGTGAGAATAAGCAACAAGGAACTCACTCTGGTTGACTGACAACGAACCAACCGAGAATCTATTGGTGAAGAAATATGCAGGAGGAGGGATTGGAGATGGATTGGATTGGATTGTGCGTGCACTGAGAAGGCCGACTGGGGATATCACGAGCCAGACCAGCCATGTCGTCGAGTTGGGTATCCGAGGTGAGGGTGGTATGGAGGAGATGGTGTGAGGAGGAAATGAGAGCTTGTGGGCTGTTGTGGAACCAGGTTGAAAATATTTCAGAGAAGAGAGTGTAATGGAGATGTGCTACTGAAGTATTATGTTCCATTAGGAACCCAAGGGGAAAATAATAATAGTAAAAAGAAGTGTAAGATATTTGTGCCATTGACAATAAAATACAGCAGACAGACACACAGACAAATGAGGGTAATACATTGATTGGTCACTGAAGGGTAACCAACTTCATATTGTCTAGTCTTAAGTGTTGATAGAATTCTATCGATAATTTTGCTGACGAGTGCCAACATGTACGAAACGTAGATCCAGGGCTTCCTGTTGATCGCCTTCATCCAACCAACGTCTATCAAATGAGTGTAATATCTAGCACATAAGTGGATTGGCCCAGGTTTCTACACTTAACAGCAGCATGTAAGAAATAAATGGACGGAAAAGTGGTATTATGATGAACAGATGTGCGTGAAAGAAGATGGAATAAATGTTAAGTTATTTGATGATAACAAAGAGTGTAAACACCTGTGTTACGATAACTGATTCTGAGTCATCCCATCAAAATGTCTCCAATTGTTGATTCTTAGTATCTCGTGGATCCCAAACAGGCAGTCTGCTCTTTTCTGTACGGCTTAAACAGACAGTAAGAGACTTCATGAACTGATTGAAAGTCTCGGTCCACCATTTTTAACCTTCTTACAAATCAATTCTACCGTGGATAAAATCAAACTTTGAGGTCGTGTTGCAACTCGATGTGTGCAGCACATGCCCAACCCTCCCTAGTTACTGAATGTTCACAACCGTATTCACTGATTTACCTCCCGTGCATAATAGTTTATGCCTAACCTCATCACTCCTTCACAGTGATGGTACTATATATGAGCAATACTATGAAAGCGCCGGTGATCAAAATCCTCTATTCTACCCATATCTTCGATTAAGGAGCAGCATCCTCTTTCCTTAGTTGGTAGTCAGGCACCTCACTGGTGTCAATGGTGAGGTGCCCTGGCAAAGGTTGAACAGGCCTTCTGTAGCCAGCTAGGATTTCAGTAGCAACCAATATATTTGAGCATATGCATATCTTCAAGTAATTGGAACGGTCTACACATTCTTTGACTTCACTTTTTACAATTAAACAAGTTCGTACAAACCACTTTCAAAGTGTCTTTTACATTTGACAAGTATGAAACAGGTGCTAATGTATTCAGATTTCTGCTCAAAGCATTTAGAAACTCATTAGTTTTCCTAGTGTCTTCACCCAACTGGATATTGTTCTCTGTACATTCCAAGTCAATCAGGTTCATACCTAGGATTAAGTCAATCACAGATAAGTTGCAGGTACTAGGGTTATATCTTTTGGCATATCTGAAAAAGAGTTAAACAAGAATTGTAAGTGAGGACATCCCTAATGGATAACACTGTTTATCATCCTATCAGTCAACATTTCTTCATAAGCTCCTATATGGCTGAATGAACTTGTGTAGAGAGCTTCACATACTAACTCAATAAAATCTTCTTTGTTAGATATTACCGCAACACCTCCCAGTTTACAGAGTTTAAAACTGCTTCAAAATTATGAAATATGTCTGTGTTCTGAAACCTATAAATAGAGTGGAGATTTAATCGACTCAACCTCGTTAGAATCTGGAACCTTCCCGGTTTTGTTGATTTTGTCGTTGTGGGGCTATAGTTGAGTGCTGAATGACTTTTTATCTCGGGATCTTAGATAAGGTGATAATTAATCTGATTTCCCTATGGTTATCATACTGACTTACCTCCAGTCATATAGGTTGAAATGATCAAAAGCCTAGACCAGTTCGACGCGGCTACCTCTGATCCCGATACACTAGCCATTACTACCGTTAATCTACTCAGTAATTCTTTACCTCCACCCTTAGAAACCCTAGATGAAAAACCACCAGTGTCCATAGGTTTGCATGGTTTCTGGTTTAAAATAGTCTTTTTAACTTTGTAAGGAGTCAAAAGACCGTAGTTTTTGTCCCATTTACGTTCAGATCACATGCCGGGTGACTGAAAAGTGCGTACAGGCCAGTTAAATTGTTTGTCAAAGTATTCAACTCAAAGTTCCATCCACTTGTCTTCAAAGATTACCAGGTAACCATTCTCTTGAGTAATGTTCTCACTAGCCAGCATCTTCCTATCAGCATCCTTAACATATCTGAATAACTGTTGGGCGTTGTTTGACTCGGGTGTTTTCTTCATCTTTTTCACCTTCTCCACCCACCCTTACTTGCGGTGACTATGAATAGTTTCAACTTGCCTTCACTAATCATCATGGTCAGAGTCAGAGAGTATGGGTTCACTTGCCTTAATCACTTCATATGAGGTTGTGGAAGTTCACAGACGTTTTCTACCCACTTGAACGTCAGTAGAGAAATTGTTTTTCCCTCTGTATCTAGGATACAGTTACTATTACATCAGGCATTATCAAGAAGAGGAATTTTTGCCATATTCAGACATATGTTTCACCCTGTAATTCTCAAACGCACACTTGACATTATCGTTTCCCAGTCAAGCACACACAAGCTTCAGTGGCGCCTGTCTCCTGAGATCACTACGGGATAAATATACACCAGTGATCAAAGTCCAGACAGGTACTCTTGAAGGAGTGAGAACTGCTCAGCGACCCTTTCGATATGATGGTTTAGAAAATCATTTTCCTGTTTTTTGTGTCCAACATTCTCTTGATTTCTGCCGAATGAGACCGTGTCTGGCTTTAGTCTGAAATTAGTACTGGCCAGAAACAAGCGATTGTCAGAGCAAAACTGTAAATGGTGATCACTGTTGTCGATTTGTTGACATGGGATTCTGTGGATACCTTCAATATGCCCTTCTGATCGAATCACCTTTCTTACTTGAGTGTTCAAGTCATCTGCTACCATGACTATATCAGAACATTTTGTATGATGTAACAAGATTCAGAATTTTTGAGTTGCAGTCGATGGGCAAGGAAGTATAGGTGAATACTAACGTGAATGCCGTCAGTATGCATCTAAATATTTCACCCGAACACTTTTGTTCCCAAAAAATCTAGTTGTTACCCTTCGTATTCGTATAATTTTCAAGGTGATAGGAAACCAGAAGCTCAATATATAAAGTGAAAAGAGGGAAAAGAAACCAAGTTAATTGTGAGTTGTTGTTCTCGGCAGGCATAGTATCCAACCCAACAGCATAACAGGATTTAATCATGGATCTTTGCCTTAGTTTATCATACAGTTGATGATGGTGAACTGCCATATTACGAAGGACCTTCAGTGAGAATGTTAATAAGATTTGGATCCGTGTCACACTGAGAAGACGTGGTAGCTAAAAGATGATGGTCAATGAATATCGTCCATATATGCAGGGTTTGATTAAGTCAATTGAAACCGAAGTCAGGGTAAATAGCTAGAGACACCTATTGTTTAGTGAAACAAAGAGAAATTGTACAGTCTGTACATGCAAAAATTTATTTCTAGGGAAGATTAAGTAACTTAGTTTTATCGATTGAACAGTTATTCCTTTCTAACCTTTATAATAATAATCCTTACAGAAAAAAGTGTTTTCACTGTTACTGACAACGTAGTAAGTTAAATTTTTTTCATAATGCACTCGATCGTGTTGTTCATTACAAGCCAACAATCCATTCGGAACCAGCCAAGAAAGAACTTGTAACGAGCTAGTTCACATTTTCAATAGATCAGTGATGTATGTAAATTATTCTACTTGGCAATTGTTTCGTTTTTTACTATGATGACGATGAAGTTTGTCAACAGTTATTGATTTATACTTGAATAGTTAGAACCTTATTGAGAGGCTTTTATTAGCCTGAAACCAGTGTGGAGATCTTCTGCACTACACTCAGCACTCAGCATAAAGCGTGAACAACATCCAGATTCTCAACACAAATTCAGTCAAGTGAGACAGTGCAGTGCTTCTATATGATGGTTGAGAGACTTGTCGGCACGTTACGAAATTGATTTCCAACAAACTACAAACATTCATCAACAACTGCCACCTACACTGGCTGGTTACTGAAGATCAGATGGATTGCCATAATGGTGAGAATAAGCAACAAGGAACTCACTCTGGTTGACTGACAACAAACCAACCGAGAATCTATTGGTGAAGAAATATGCAGAAGGAGGGAGTAGAGATGGGAAACGATGAGTTGGGTGTCCGAGGTGAGGGTGGTATGGAGGAGATGGTGTGAGGAGGAAATGAGAGCTTGTGGGCTGTTGTGGAACCAGGTTGAAAAGATTGGAGAGAAGAGAGTGTAATGGAGATGTGCTACTGAAGTATTATGTTCCATTAGGAACCCAAGGAGAAAATAATGGTAATAATAGTTAGTACCCTATTAGATGATTTACAGTTATTACCGAATTCTGTAAAATAAGGAACGTCAGATTATTTTCGGTGAATCAACACTTCTCTATTAGACTCGATGTCATAAGACATTTTTGTATGGATCGGACTATGCTGTCATCAAAATGCTTCATTCTCAGACCACAAATTATTATTCAGCAGTCTTATCTTGTGATATTTAACTTAGGTTATCATAAATTATGTTAGTAGCTTGGAGCAGCGACATTTGTGTTAGTGATATCGTGTACCAACTTCTATTAGTTGTAATAAATAGTCAACACCAAGTTAGTATTACTGATATGTTATTCTGTTCACAGTTTTAAACCAGTTTTCAAACATCAGTATACCTTATTTAAAGTTAAACACTGATGACTAAAGTTTGATTCTTATGCATTGACTACTGTTTTTAAAATTTAGTTTTATGTATCCATTTGGCCCTGTTCATTTACTGGACTGACATTATCAAAGAGAAAAATACTGTTAAATGCCGATCAAAGGGAGATCAGATCCTTTGATCATATATTTTTAGTTTATTTTTGAGTTTGCTGGATATTTGTTGAAATCTTGGCGTAGTTTTACAAAATATCAGCAGCACTTATAATATCCTGGTGTTATTCTGGATGAAATCGATCAAACTCCGTTGGCATATGGGCTCTTTTGAAGATGTCTCAATATTACTTGATGGTTAATGATGAGTAATTTGCATAGTGGTGGCTAACTGTCGAATCTTGAACGCACATTTCTTTTCATTGAGAGTGAAGATACATCCAAAGGATGAGTCCTAAAGTGGGTGAAACACACATCCTGAATTCCACTACTATCCTCTACCAATCAAATTACAAAATCTACAGTAATTTGTATGGATAAAAAGGTTTTTAGGCATTACATTTAAAAGTTTACAATACTTGACATTCTTATTTCTTTTTCAGTATGATCAACTCATTTACAATATTCATGATGTTCAATTTCAAGTTAAAGAAATGTCTCCGGATGCAATTGTAGCTTTAATTGTAAACAATTTAAATAAAAATCAAAACCCTTCACATTGGCAGCTTATTGAATACCTTCCACCAGACTGTGACTGTCCTGAAGTAAGTCAAAGTGTTTTCAGCTTTCGAAGCTTCTGTTTGAATATGATTATGAAGATCATGCCTCCATTTCATCACTGAATTAAACTTTTTCTAATCGTGGCTGATAGTGATTTATTCTATAGCTTAAACAATAAAACATGGTGTCTGACATGCACCTGTGTTTATCAGGATTCTAACTTTTCCATTTATGCTCCAGTTTCGGATTTAGATGTTGAGAGTCATTCGGCAAGAAACCTTGACCGTTGATACCATTGCTTTTTGGCAGTCATCCGCGAAGGTTTTCTTCAGCCATTTAGTAATTGGTTTCTCTAAAGGATTCGAATTTGCACAACTGATTACTGAAGTCGAAAAATTTACCCTGTATAGGTCTGTGCTAAGTACACGAATTATTCAGCACTGTGCACCAAGTACTAAGTATGACGTATGACATAAGTAGTTTGATGGTTAAATCTCTGACATCGGAAATAACTGATACAAGTTGGGATTATCGAAGAAACTCCAGCTTCTAAAAAGTAGCAGATGTGTTGACGAACTCTAAACCTACGTCAAGTAAAGGGCCTTATCGATGCAGTTTGAACACCATTTATATAAATAGCTAAGTTTCAAAAATGATCTTTGAAGCGCATGAACAATCTACTCACAATCTACTTGACATTTCTTTTTCACTACAGTAGTTATTCAAAAAACAAGCACATCATAGTATTCCTATGGTTAGCTGAGTTTCAGTAGTTTTTTTCTTTCTCTTCTAAAATATTCTCCTGTTACCTGAAGTAACTAGTTTGTTAGTTATTTTTGTGAATGAAAGTACTGAGTTGTATACAAAACGTTTTACCTTAGGATGCACGCAAAGTTATATGCTGCTTATATTAGAGTAATCACTCACCTTTATGAGTATAACTGACTGAAAGAATGCAGAAGGAAATCTGATTTTATAATCACAAAGGCAACGCTTTCTCGTTCAGTATATTTATGCACATAAGATATTTTGTATTGATTGAGTTTTGAAACCATATATCAGTGAAGAGTCGTCAAATAGAAGACCGTTAGAATAGTATATAACTAACAAAAACTAATCGTTTAGGGAACTTTGGTAAGGGTGGAATAAAGCAGAAGATTATGGCTGTTCTTCAGCTCACTAAAACTAGTTCATTTGAAGATACAGAGTTTTGATATGTGACTCCGTTTACTTCTTCCTGAAGTCAATATATATGATGTTGCATAGGACAGTGATGCACCTTCGGCTACCAGTATATCTCAGACTGAAGGACATCTTCTACTCTAACTATCTACGCTGCTATTCTAAATTTCCTTCTCACAAATCCCACCAGAATGGAAGGCGTATTGCGTAATAGAGTGTTTACTTCTGAAGGTGATCTAACTCAAGCAACAAGCTTCTAAGATTTTGATACGACTTTGAAAAATTTATTGCTTGAAATTATTACCATTGAGTCAACATTCCAAGAACAACACTGAGTAGTTCTAATGGTGTTTTGTTTATCCTTTTGACTACGTGAGATAGCGGTGCTTTGACAGATTAGTGTTTATACTGAGTGATGACTGAAGATGAAAAGAAAATTTAGATGGCGGCCGGGTTCGAACCAACGACTACAGGGTTTCCAGGACCGATACTCTATCAACTGAGCTGCAAAGTTCGACTTCTGGTCAAATTTTTATTTCACTCGAGTCACCATGCCCGACTACCATGTTAATTCGTGACGCGTTACTATCACAAAACAGAAGTCGGACCTCGTAGTTCAGTTAGTAGATCATCGGGCGAGAGACTCGATGGTCGCTGGTTCGGATCCAGCCGTGGTATAAATTTTCATTCCACCTTCAATCATCGCTCAGCATAAATATTTTATTTATTTTGAAAATTGACTTAAAAAAGTTTCCGTCAAACTTTTCATCAGTCGTTTGCCCTTCAGTATCTAGCTGATTAGAAGACTAGTGATATTGAAAAGTGGGAAATTATTTATGAGTTATATTTAAACAAGGTTCGAATACTGACATGTTGTACATTAAAGTATAAAGTATACATTAAATTATTATTATTTGTCCCTTGGGTTCCAAATGGAACATAATACTTCAGTAGCACATCTCCATTACACTCTCTTCTCTGAAATATTTTCAACCTGGTTCCACAACAGCCCACAAGCTCTCATTTCCTCCTCACATCATCTCCTCTAAACCACCCTCACCTCGGACACCCAACTCATCGTTTCCCCTTTGCGTTCCACTCGACGACCTGGCTGGTCTGGCTCGTGATATCCCCAGTCGGCCTTCTCAGTGCACGCACAATCCAACCCATCTCCACTCCCTCCTTCTGCATATTTCTTCACCAATAGATTCTCGGTTGGTTTGTTGTCAGTCAACCAGAGTGAGTTCCTTGTTGCTTATTCTCACCATTATGGCAATCCATCTGATCTTCAGTAACCAGCCAGTGTAGGTGGCAGTTGTTGATGAATGTTTGTAGTTTGTTGGAAATCAATTTCGTAACGTGCCGACAAGTCTCTCAACCATCATATAGAAGCACTGCACTGTCTCACTTGACTGAATTTGTGTTGAGAATCTGGATGTTGTTCACGCTTTATGCTGAGTGCAGATCTCCATACTGGTTTCAGGTTAATGAAGGAAGGCGTGTCTTGCTGTCTTTCCCATCCTGTCTGCTTTGATGTCCTCGTGTGTGCCTGTTCCGCCTGTAGTTGAAACGATGCTCCACTACCTAGATAGGTGAAGCAGGCTACTTCCTTTAGGTTTCCCCCGTTGATGGTGATTAGTGTCTCTTGTTGTTGATGGTGTTGTTGGTTGGACACTGCCTTTTAACAGCTTATATAAATACATGTACGTTTAATTAATGTTAGACCAAAGAAATGATATTGCATCTATTTAGAACTAGTAAATCAGTAAATAAAATAAATAGAAGACTGGGTAGAACAACACAGAAATAGGTGAATCCAGTGCAGTACTTTCATGTTTCTCATGTTAAAAGACAGTAATTACTTTTTTAGGAATCAGTCAGTTAAATTATGAAAATAAATCAAAACTTTTTCAGTACAGAAAATCATAAAAAGGCAATTCGTAAACTACGGTACAATTTCATCCATTCTTTGTCCTCAGTATAAAATGAAAACACAGGAAACTGAACAAAACATCACTCACCATATTTGTATGAATTGAACAATAGTAATCAAAAATCTGTCCAAATTCATTGTATTCTCTCTGACTATTGTTTCAAACTCCTATTATAATCAAAAAATATCAACAGACAAATTATTCGTCTGCATTTAAATATGCTTACTACTGTTGGCACTGGTGAAATATTTAGAAGTTTGAAAGAGATGTATAAGTTTTCTTTCTAGTAAAATACGGTTTCACTTAGCTATGTAATTCAATGTCTACTGATCTATGACAAGTTTATGTTTAACCTGCATCATATATATATATATATATATATATATATATATATATATATATCCCATATTAGGTGGAAGGAAGCATTCAATAGGAAGTCCTGCTTGATATACGTTTTGTGCTTGCCAACACTCCGTCAGAAGCCTGGAAGGAACTGATGCCCTACCTGAGATTCCAACCTGCGACACTGAATGCTGCAGTTGGAGATGCTATTCCATGGATTTGATTACTCTACAGCGAGCAGTGATCCAGCCTTACAGGATGCTAATCGTGACCCAAATTACTCTATGGTAACGTCTCCGACTGGAGCACTGGACAATGTGGTTTCCAACCTCAGACGGGACATTAGTTCTGACAAGGTTTCAGATGCACAATGCTGACGAGTGACAACAAGCACGAAACCTAGCTTCTGATCTTCAGTAACCAGCCAGTGTAGGTGGCAGTTGTTGATGAATGTTTGTAGTTTGTTGGAAATCAATTTCGTAACGTGCCGACAAGTCTCTCAACCATCATATAGAAGCACTGCACTGTCTCACTTGACTGAATTTGTGTTGAGAATCTGGATGTTGTTCACGCTTTATGCTGAGTGCAGATCTCCATACTGGTTTCAGGTTAATGAAGGAAGGCGTGTCTTGCTGTCTTTCCATCCTGTCTGCTTTGATGTCCTCGTGTGTGCCTGTTCCGCCTGTAGTTGAAACGATGCTCCACTACCTAGATAGGCGAAGCAGGCTACTTCCTTTAGGTTTCTCCCGTTGATGGTGATTGGAGTTTGTTGTTGTTTTTGCTGTTTTTGTTGGTGTTGGTTGGGTATCTTCACCATCTCTGTCTTCTCTACATTCACTTGAAGTCATATCTTCACTGCCTCACCTCTCCTGTCAACTTGTTAGTTTTCACCTGCAGATCTTCGAGTTTGTGTGACATTAGACGTAAATCACAATGGACGAAATCCAAGTCATCTCGGATCATTTTCCCGGTCCAGTCATTGCATCCCCTTTTCTCGCTCCTCACTGTTTGCTGCATGATCCAGTCGACCACAATCAGGAATATCATGGGTGATAGTAGAAACCCTTGTTTTTCCGCTGTCTTCTCTTCAAAAGCGTCAATGAGTTTTTCACTGTGGATCAGCTGGCATGTGGTGTCTTCATATAGTTGTTGAATGAGGCTGATAAAGGTTTACGGTACTCCGTAGTGTTGAAGCAACTGCCTGGCAAATTACTTGTCGGTCAACGCTGTCAAAGGCCTTCTCAAAGTGGATGAAGTTGAGGTAGAATTGAGTTGACTGACATTCTCTACTTTGTTCTATGATGATTCGTAACGTAGCGTTGCAATTTGGTCGGCACATGATTTGTACTTCCTGAATCCAGCCAGCCTGTTCCGGTCGTAGTTTTGAATCTAGTGCATCTCTTAGTCTCTCCAGGATGATGCGGCTTAATATTTTGCCTGCTCCGAGTGGACAGGTGAGTGATTCTGCCCCATTTCTTACAAACACTGAGGTCTCCCTTCTTCGGGAGTTTGACAAGGTAGCCATTCTTCCAATCAATCTGCAGGTACCTATCCTTCCTTCCACACCTTCTGCAATAGTGGTGTGA